TTCTAGTCCCGGTCAGGGCGCCGGATTCTGTCCCGGTTGCCCCTCTTCCAGGCCAGCTCTCTGCTGTGGCCAAGGAGTGCAGTGGAGGATGGCCCAGGTGCTTGGGCCCTGCACCCCATGGGAGACCAGGAAAAGCACCTGGCTCCTGGCTCCTGGCTCCTGCCATTGGATCAGCGCGGTGTGCCGGCCAGCGCGCTGGCCGCGGTGGCCGCGGTGGCCATTGGAGGGTGAACCAATGGCAAAGGAAGACCTTTCTCTCTGTCTCTCTCTCTCACTGTCCACTCTGCCTGTCAAAAAAAAAAAAACCTGCCACCTCTGATATCAGCACACCATATGGGCACTGGTGGATGTCCCAGCTGCTCCACTTCTGATCCAGCTGCCTGCTAATAGCCTGGAAAAAGCAGCAGAAGATGGCCCAAGTCCTTGAGCCCCTGCCACACAGGTGGGAAACCTGGATAAGACTCCTGGTTTCAGCCTGGCCCAGTCATGACCATTTCAGCCATTTGGGGACCAAACCAGCAGGTGAAAGATCTGTCTCTGCCTCTCTCTCTCTCTCAAATAAAATGAAAAATGAAACTACCCGCCGGCACTGCGGCTCACTAGGCTAATCCTCCGCCTTGCGGCGCCGGCACACTGGGTTCTAGTCCCGGTCGAGGGGCCGGATTCTGTCCCAGTTGCCCCTCTTCCAGGCCAGCTCTCTGCTATGGCCCGGGAGCGCAAGATGGCCCAAGTCCTTGGGCCATGCACCCGCATGGGAGACCAGGAGAAGCACCTGGCTCCTGGCTTCGGATCAGCGTGATGCGCCGGCCACAGCAGCCATTGGGGGGTGAACCAACGACAAGAAGACCTTTCTCTCTGTCTCCTCTCTCTCTTACTGTCCAATCTGCCTGTCCAAAAAAAAAACAAAAACAAAAACAAAAACAAAAACAAAAACAAAAACAAAAAAACAGAACTTTCATACGAGTATGCCAGTAATTACCAGGCACTATAAAAAATTTGTTTATTTATTTGAAAAGGAGAGTTGGCCAGTGCCATAGCTCACTAGGCCAATCCTCCGCCTTGCGGCACCGGCACACTGGGTTCTAGTCCCGGTCGGGGCACCGGATTCTGCCCGGTTGCCCCTCTTCCAGGCCAGCTCTCTGCTGTGGCCAGGGAGTGCAGTGGAGGATAGCCTAAAGTACTTGGGCCCTGCACCCGCATGGGAAACCGCGGCGGCCATTGGAGGGTGAACCAACAGCAAAGGAAGACCTTTCTCTCTCTCTCTCTCTCTCACTGTCCACTCTGCCTGTCAAAAAATTAAAAAAAAAAAAAAAAGAAAAGAAAAAAGAAAGAAAAGGAGAGTTACAAAGAGAAGGGAGAGAGAGAGAATCTTCCATCCGCTGGTATACTTCCCAAATAGCTGCAAAGGCTGAGAGTGGGAGCTTCTTTCAGGTTTCTCATGTGGGTGGCAGGAGCCCAAGGACATAGGCCATCCTCAGCTGCTTTTCCAGGTGCCTTAGCAGGGAGCTGGATAGGAAGTAGAGCAGCATGCCGGCCGTAGCAGGCATTTCGGGGGTGAACCAACGGAAAGGAAGACCTTTCTCTCTGTCTTTCTCTCTCACTGTCCACTCTGTCAAAAAAAAAAAAAAAAAAAAAACACAAAAAAAAACAAAACAACAACAAAAAAAAACGAAATGAGGAAGAGTGTTGGGCCATAATGAAGAAGCCAGAAAACCTTGGGAGCTCAAGCCAGGAATGCAATCTTAAGAATCTAGGAGTCAGGGGCCGGCGCTCTGGCACAGCGAGTTAAAGCCCTTGCCTGAAGCATCAGCATCCCATGTGGGCGCCAGTTTGAGACCCAGCTGCTTCACTTCCAATCCAGCTTCCCGCTATGGCCTGGGAAAGCAGGGGAGGATGGCTTTGGGCCCCTGTGTCCATGTGGGAGACCCAGAGGAAGCTCTTGTCTCCTGGTTTCAGATCGACACAGCTCCCCTCATTGCAACCAACTGGGGAGTAAACCATCGCATGGAGGCCCCCTCTCTCTTTCTGTGTAACTGACTTTCAAATAAATAAATAAATCTTAAAAAAAAAAGAAAAAAAAAAAAGAATGTAAGAGTCAGGGAGCCAGCTCTGTGGCACAGTGGGTAAGGTCACTGCCTGCAGTGCCAGCATCCCATATGGGTGCTAGTTTGAGTCCAAACAGCTCCTATTCCAATCTGGCTTTCTGCTATGGCCTGGGAAAGCAGTAGAGGATGGCCCAAGTCTTTGAGCCCGCCCGTGTGTGGGAGAACTGAGAAAGCTCCTGGCTCCTGGCTTCAGACTGACATTTGGGGAGTTAACCGGCAGATGGAAGACTTCTCTCTCTCTGCCTCTCAAACAAATAGATATTAAAAAAAAAAAAAAACGTGAGAGTCAACTGAAGAACACAGACAAGGCACCAGCCTTGCGGCACAGAGGGCTGGCTGCCACTTGGGGAGCCTGTATCAGAGCAATGACTCTATTTCTAGCTACTCTCCTTCCAAGCCAGTTCCATGCTAACGCATCTGGGAAAGCAGAAGATGGCCCAAACATTTGGGCCCCTGCCACCCATGTCAGAGCTCAGGATGGAGTTCCTGATTCTTGCCTTCAGTCTGGACAATGTGGCCATTAGAGGAGTGAACCAGCAAATGGAAGATCTCTCTTTACATCTCTCTCCTGTCACTCAGCCTTGAAACACATAAATGAATCTTTAAAAAGGAAGGGAAGGAACAAACAAAGGAAGGAATGGATGGAGAAGGGAGAAAGGGAGGAAGAGAGTGTGTTTGAACAGGCAGGTGGACACAGACAAGGTTCAGAGGGGTATGTGAAGCATGAGCAAGTCAGTATGCAGACATCCACACAGGATGGGCAGTGTTCTATGCTCCATCAGTGTGTAAACGATCTGTGAATCACAGAAGATGGTGCAAAGTACAAACTACAGTTAGATATGTATACATGTACCTCAAAGGGGATGGTTTTGAGATAATCTGTGTAGAAGACTTAGAAAATTGCTTATTCTTGATTCTCCAACCCTATCTTTTACTTCCTTTTGGCTCCAGTTTTAATTTTAAAGAGATTTCACTGCACATACCCTTTTAAACCCCCTTTAAACCTTTTAGATAATATATTTCACTATACTGCCACTGGAGACATAAAGTGACTCCCATAATATGAAATCTAGGAAATATTTCAGTTTGAAACTCTGCTGGCTGGCGCCGCGGCTCACTAGGCTAATCCTCCGCCTAGCGGCGCCGGCACACCGGGTTCTAGTTCCGGTTGGGGCGCCGGATTCTGTCCCGGTTGCCCCTCTTCCAGGCCAGCTCTCTGCTGTGGCCAGGGAGTGCAGTGGAGGATGGCCCAGGTGCTTGGGCCCTGCACCCCATGGGAGACCAGGAAAAGCACCTGGCTCCTTGCGCTGGCCGTGGCAGCCATTGGAGGGTGAACCAATGGCAAAGGAAGACCTTTCTCTCCCTCTGTCTCTCACTGTCCACTCTGCCTGTCAAAAAAGAAAAAAAAGAAAAAAAGAAAAAGAAACTCTGATCTCTGAGCCCAGCTCAGGACCTGAAATACAAGTTGAATAAAATAAGCAGAGAAGAGTTCCAACTGCGAATCCAGAGATGACAGTAGGGTACAAACTATTATCTGAGAGTCCTCAGGAATGCTATGGATCTTATATAAAGAAATAACATCCTGGTGAGAGGTATGACACCACAGCTGGACACAGAATTGGGCAACAGAAAACTACCTCTGATAATAACAAAATCTTTATTAACCTACATCTATTCCATACCTACTCACATACAATCAGTTCTAACAGAGGACAGCATTGTACTACAGAAGGTTAGGCTCCCTGCTAATAATGTGTCTGGCAAAGCAGTGGAAGATGGCCCAAGTACATGATCCCTGCCAACCATGTGGAAGACCCAGATGGAGTTCTAGCCTCTTGGCTTCAGCCTGAACCAGCCAAGGCAGTCATTTGAGGGGTAAACCAACAGATCAAAGTTCTCTCTTCCTTTCTCTAACTCTGCCTTTCAAAAAAAAAAATATTTTTTTAAAAAAATTTTTTAAAGACTTAAACAGTTACAGAGAGAGAGGAAAGGCAGAGAGAGAGGTCTTCCATACACTGGTTCACTCCCCAATTGGCCACAACGGCCGGAGCTCCACCAATCCAAAACCAGGAGCCCCGAGTTTCTTCCAGGTCTCCCAAACAGGTGCAGGGGCACAAAGACTTGGGCCATCTTCAATTGCCTTCCCAGGCCACAGCAAAGAGCTGGATCGGAAATGGGCAGCTGAGACTCAAACTGGTGCCCATATGGGATACTGGCACTGCAGGCAGCGGATTTACCCGCTACGCCACAGTGCCAGCCTCCATCTAATTTATTTTTAAGCATTTCCTATTTCCTAATAAATGTTATAAAAGATATATATTTCCCTCTAAGGACTCCTTCAGGTGTGTTTCACTAGGATAGAAGACCCAGAGCTCAAGAATAAAAAGGAAGAAATAGTACCAGGAGATACAGGGCTAGAAAAGGGAAGAAGAGCAAAACAATAGAACAGCAGCAGAGATTCTCAACATTATCTCCACTGCAGACACAGTCAAACAGCCATATTTCCCTGAGCCAGACTCCTTTATGCTGCGTCCTGATAGCAAACCAGCTCTCTTCAAGGGCTAGTTCAACAGAACACTTAACACTATATTTATTGGCTTCGTATAAAATGTACATTGTAGGTTGACAGTACACATTACACTTTTCATGAATCTACCACCTAACTGCTAATATATACCTTATCCATTATCTGTATATAATCATAGCTAAGAAAAAAACTTACCCTATAAATTAAATCATTATTGGTATGCTTCTTGGATGAAGGAACAAAGTAAATTAGTATTCTTGGTAAAATACAATGTACTTTGCACTTAAACATAATGTGCTTCAGAATTTAACACCACACAAAGAAATGAGATTTAACACATCAAAATACAAATAAATGTAAAAACTTACCATCCCTGTTCATTTTTATACTTGTATGCAGCCCCAAGAATGTGACACAACGTGCCTCCTGCTTTGAAATCCATGAAACACTTCGCCTAAAAATGATACAGATTATACATAAGAAAAGTACAGGTTCTGACAAAATTATTCATGTCTGAATGCTAAGTGCTATAAACTCACAAATAAAAACCTATAATGCCGCCGCCATAGCTCAATAGGCTAATCCTCCACCTGCAGCGCCAGCACACCGGGTTCTAGTCCTGGTCGGGGCACCAGATTCTGTCCCGGTTGCTCCTCTTCCAGTCCAGCTCTCTGCTGTGGCCTGGGTGTGCAGTGGAGGATGGCCCAAGTCCTTGGGCCCTGCACCCGCATGGGAGACCAGGAGAAGCACCTGGCTCCTGGCTTCGGATCAGCGCGGTGCGCCAGCCGTAGGCCACTGGGGGGTGAACCAAAGGAAATAAAGGAAGACCTTTCTGTCTCTCTCTCTCACTGTCCATTCTGCCTGTCAAAAAAATAAATTAATTAATTAATTAAAAAAAAAAACCTACAATCAATAACCTTCTAAAATACTTTCTTCAACAAGTAAAAAGAAATTTTTTTAGGGGCCAGTGCTGTGGTGCAGTGGGTTAAAGCTCTGGCCTGAAGCACTGGCATCCCATATGGACGCCGGTTCTAGTCCCAGCTGCTCCACTTCTGATCCAGCTCTCTGCTATGGCCTGGGAAAGCAGTGGAGGACGGCCCAAGTCCTTGGGCCCCTGCACCCGCATGGGAGACCTGGAAGAAGCTCTTGGATCCTGGATTCAGATCGGCACAGCTCTGGCCGTTGCAGTCAACTGGGGTGTGAACCAGCAGATGGAAGACCTCTCTCTCTAACTCTGACTTTCAAATAAATAAATACATTTTATTTTAAAAAATAAAAAAAATTTTCAATGATTTATTTACTTGAAAGGCAGAGTTAAAGAGAACACTGCAGAGAGGCTGGCGCCGTGGCTCACTTGGTTCATCCTCTGCCTGTGGCGCGAGCATCCCATATGGGCACTGGGTTCTAGTCCTGGTTGCTTCTCTTCCAGTCCAGCTCTCTGCTGTGGCCCGGGAGGGCAGTGGAGGATGGCCCAGGTGTTTGGGCCCCTGTACCCACGTGGGAGACCAGGAGGAAGCACCTGGCTCCTGGCTTCGGATTGGCATAGCTCTGGCCATAGCGGCCATTTTGAGGGGTGAACCAATGGAAGGAAGATGTTTCTCTCTGTCTCTCTCTCTCTCTCACTGTCTAACTCTGCCAAATAAATTAAAAAAAAAATTTTTTTAAAGATTATTTATTAGAAAGTCAAGAGTTATACAGAGAGGAAAGGCAGAAAGAGAGAGAGAGAGAAGGGTCTTCCAAAAGCTGGTTCCCAGATGGCCACAATGGCTGGAGCTGCGTGGATCCAAAGCCAGGAGCCAGGAGTTCTTCCAGGTCTCCCACACGGTACAGGGGTCCAAGGATGTGGGCCATCTTCTACTGCTTTACAGGCCATAGCAGAGAGCTTGATCAGAAGAGAAGCAGCCAGGACTTGAACCAGCGCCCATATGCTATGCCAGTGCCACAGGCTGTGGCTTTATTCGGCTGCGTCACAGCGTCAGCCCCTGGCTCCTGGCTTAGATCAGCACAGCTCTAGCTGTTGCAGCCGTCTGAAGAGGGAATCAGCAGATGAAAGTCTTCTCTCTCTGTACCTCTCTAACTCTTTCAAATACATAAAATAAATCTTAAAAAAAAAAAAAAAAAAAAAAAAAACGCAAGACTAGGGGCCAACGCTGTGACACAGTAGGTGAAGCCACTACCTGTGGCACTGGCATCCCACATGAGCATTGGCTCAAGTCCTGGGTGCACGCTTCTGGTACAGGTCCCTGGAAAGCAGTGGAGGATGTAGTACTTGATCCCCTGCATGCACGTGGGAGACATGTAAGAACCTCCTGGCTGTGGATGGACCCAGCTCCAGCCATTGCAGCCTTTCACAGAGTGAACCAGCAGATGGAAGACCTCGTTTCTCTCTCTGCTTCTGCTTCTCTGTAACTCTGCCTTTCAAATAAATCTTTTTTTTTTTAAATTCTTAAAAAATACAAATATGGTAATCCCAGTCAGGGCATGGAAAGCTAGAAACAGGCAAGGGCCCCTTAACTTATTTCCCCGTTCAATCTCAATCCCATTCACTCCCCCATCACATCCACTCCTGACAGCAAAGAGCGGTTATTCTTTTTTTTTTTTTTTTTTTGACAGGCAGAGTTATTTTTTTATTTATTTATTTTTTTATTTTATTTTTTTTTTGACAGGCAGAGTGGACAGTGAGAGAGAGAGACAGAGAGAAAGGTCTTCCTTTGCCGTTGGTTCACCCTCCAATGGCCGCCGCGGCCAGCGCGATGCGGCCGGCGCACCGCGCTGATCCGATGGCAGGAGCCAGGAGCCAGGTGCTTTTTCCTGGTCTCCCATGGGGTGCAGGGCCCAAGCACCTGGGCCATCCTCCACTGCACTCCCTGGCCACAGCAGAGGGCTGGCCTGGAAGAGGGGCAACCGGGACAGAATCCGGTGCCCCGACCGGGACTAGAACCCGGTGTGCCGGCGCCGCAAGGCGGAGGATTAGCCTAGTGAGCCGCGGCGCCGGCCCAGGCAGAGTTAGACAGTGAGAGAGAGACAGACAGAGAGAAAGGTCTTCCTTCCATTGGTTCATCCCCCAAATGGCTGCTACGGGCAGTGTGCTGAGCCAATCCAAAGCCAGGAGCCAGGTGCTTCCTCCTGGTCTCCCATGCAGGTGCAGGGCCCAAGTACTTGGGCCATCCTCCACTGCACTCCCAGGCCACAGCAGAGAGCTGGACTGGAAGAGAAGCAACCGGGACAGAATCTGGCGCCCCAACCAGAACAAGATCCCAGGGTTCCAGCGCTGCAGGTGGAGGATTAGCCTAGTGAGCCACGGCACCAGCCTAGAGCTCTTATTCTTAAAGGTTCCCCAAAAGAAAAGCAATGAGTACACTTTTCCTGACTAGTGTATGAAAATCTAAAGAACAGAAAGTCAATGGCGGGGGGAGGGGGGGAGCATAGTGAGTAAAGCTGCCACCTGCAGTGCCAGCACCCCATATAGGTGCCAGTTCCGAGTCCTGGCTGCTCTACTTCTGATCCAGCTCTCTGCTATGACCTGGGAAAGCAGTGGAAGACAACCCAAGTGCTTGGGCCCCTGCACCCGTGTGGGAGACCTGGAGCAACCTTCTGGCTCCGGCTTCAGATCGGCCCAGCTCAGCAGTTGCGGCCAATTGGCGAGTGAACCACTGGATGGAAGACCTCTCTCTCTGCCTCTCCTTCTGTGTGTAACTCTTTCAAATAAACAAATAAACTTTAAAAAAAAAAAAAAAGCCAACAGAGTAGCAAAAGGTGAGTCTTCCAGAGCCAATGAGATGCTGCCTTATTATGTATCTCAGCAGCTGCACCCTTCAATTAAAGACTCTTGAGACAGTTTTAAGAGGCTGCCAGCTGTGTTATCCTTGGCTAACAAAATTCAAAATTTGGGGCCGACACAGTGGCACAAAAGGTTAAAGCCCTGGCCTGAGGCGCCGGCATCCCATATTGGTGCTGGTTCTAGTCCCAGCAGCTCCACTTCCGATCCAGCTCTCTGCTATGACCTGGGATAGCAGTAGAAGATGGCCCAATTCCTTGGGCCCCTGCACCCGCGTGGAAACCTGGAAGAAGCTCCTGGCTTTGGATTTGCACAGGTCCGGACCTTGCAGCCATCTGGGAGTGAACCAGCAGATGGAAGACCTATCTCTCTCTCTGTAACTCTTTCAAATAAAAATAAAATAAAATAATTTAAAATTTAAACTAATCTTATCCTGGATGTGTCTAAGGATATTTATAGTCCACATAAAATTCTGCAGAGCTCAATGGAAACTGGAAAAGAAAAACCTTCTACCATACTGCACAGTGTTCTCCACCTGTGCCATGGTATCCTTGTCTTTATCTCTGACTTAATCATCAGAGAAAACGTAGCACTAGCAATTGGTAATGAAGACAGTGTGTGTTTTGATGAGGAGTATATACACTTTCTTTTAAAAAGATTTATTTATTTATTTGAAAGAATCACAGAGTCGGGGGACGGGGGAGAGGGAGAGAGGGAAAGAGGGGGAGAAAGGGGGAGAGAGAGGGAGAGGGAGGGAGAGGGAGGGAGAGGGAGGGAGAGGGAGGGCAAGATAGCGAGAAAGAGGTCTTTCATTACTGGTTTACACCCCAGATGACTGCCAATGGCCAGAGCTGAGCCAATCTGAAGCCAGGAGCTTCTTACGGGTCTCCGACGCAGGAAGAAGCCCAAGGATTTGGGCCATCTTCTGCTGCTTTCCCAGGCCATAGCAGAGAGCAAGATGGAAGTGGAGAAGCCAGGACTTGGATTGGTGCCCATATGGCTTGCCTGCACTGCAGGCGGTGACTTTACCTACTACACCACAGCACTGCCCCCCAGGAGTATATACTTAAAATGCCAAGCTTACGCCTATCAAACAGTAAACCACGGTATCTGAAAATGGACTTGAAGAAGTAAATGAAGAAAACAGCATGGTGGCTGAAGCCAGAAGCTTCATTTGGGTCTTCCACAGAGGTGTCAGGGGCCCAAACACTTGCGCCATCTTGCACTGTTTTCCCCAGGCACATCAGTAGGGAACTGGACTGGAAATAGAGCTCCCAGGACACAACCTGGCATACCTATTGGATGCCTATGTGGCAGGTAGTGTTTAATTCACCATGCCACAATGCCAGCCCTAATTTTTATTTATTTATTTGAAAAGCAATGACAGACAGAGATATCCACTGGTTCACTTTCAAAATGTCCACACAATCAGTTCTGGGCCAGGCCAAAGCAAGGAGTCCCAAACTCAATCCAGGTCTCCCACTGGAGTGGCAGGGACCCAAGTACTTGAGTCATCATTTGCTGACTTCCAGGATGTGCATTAGCAGAAGCTGATTCTGGAAATGGAGACAGGACTTAAACTCAAGAAGTAACATATGGAATGCAGACATCCTAAGCAAGATTTTAACTGATGTATCAAATGCCACCCCCAACAACTTAATTATTTTAATTGCTACAGGAGACATACTGGTCTTTTATTATTTATTTGTTTGAAAGGCAGAGACACAGAGGTGTATCATTTCTGGTTCATTTTCCAAATGATCACAGAGCCAGGACTCAAAGTTTCCCACATGGATGGCAGCCATACAACAACTTGAGCTATGATCTGCTGCCTCCTAGGGTGCACATTAGCAGGAAGCTGGAATCATAACAAAGCTGTGCTGGTGAAGACGGCATTGTGCCACAGCAGCTTAAGCTTGAATGTAGGTTCAAGTCCTGGCTGCTCTACTTACCAGCTCCCTGCTTATGCCCCTGGAAAAGCAGTGAAAGATGGCTCAAGTGCTTGGGCCTGTGTCGTTCACATGGGAAACCCAGAAGTTGTTTCTGGCTCCTGGCATGAGCCCAGGCCATCCTGGACTGTTGCACACATCTGGCGAGTGAACCAGCAGATGGAAGATATGTGTATGTGTCTCCTGTTCTAACTCTGTCTTTAAAATAAATAAACAGGAGCCAGCGTTGTGGCATAGTGAGTAAAGCCACTGCCTGCAACGCCACCATTCCATATGGGAGCCAGTTAGAGACCAGCTGCTTCAATTTTGATCCAGCTCCCTGCTAATAGCCTGGGAAAGCAGGGGAAGATGGCCCAAGTGCTTGGGCCCTTGCACTCACATGGGACACCTGAAGAAGCTCCTGGCTTCAGACAGGTCTATCTCCAGTTGTGGTGGCCATTTGTGTGTGAACCAGTGGCCTGAAGATTTCTCTCTCTCTCCTCTCTCTGTAACTCTGACTTTCAAATAAGTAAATAAATCTATCTTAAAAAAAAAAAAAAAAAAAAAAACAGCAGAGCTGGGACTTGAACCCAGGTACTCCAATATGAGTTACAGGGCCTCCTAAATGGCTCCTTAACTGCTACACTAAACATATACCAATAAAGTTACAAAATCTTAAAATTAACACTTTAATCAGAGGTGATCACTGCTATAATAGTCTCATTCTTGGCTAGGATAAAATGTATTATCGCAGATACCAAGTTTCAGAACTTATCAGAAGGCACTTTTCATGTACTACTTCATTTATTCCTAACAATCCTATAAAGCTGATTCTTTTCACCCCATTTTACAAATGAGAAAAATTATTCCTGACTCCAGCACTGTGACAACTAAACAACCAAAAAATCCTACTGCAAACACCTCAAAATATCAGGTAAGTCTAACATTATTTTAAATGAGGTTGAATTCCTAGAAAGCAAATTAATCCTCAAGTACAAAAAATCAAATGAGGAAAAAAATGTCCTAAGTGATAATCTCTGAGGTCAACACTGCAACACTCAGGTGACACGTGTGATGGAAATAATGAGACTAGAGGTCGGTGCCACGGCTCACTAGGCTAATCCTCCGCCTTGCGGCGCCGGCACACCAGGTTCTAGTCCCGGTCGGGGCACCGGATTCTGTCCCGGTTGTCCCTCTTCCAGGCCAGCTCTCTGCTGTGGCCAGGGAGTGCAGTGGAGGATGGCCCAAGCACTTGGGCCCTGCACCCCATGGGAGACCAGGATAAGTACCTGGCTCCTGCCATCGATCAGTGCGGTGCACCGGCTGCAGCGCGCCAGCCGCGGCGGCCATTGGAGGGTGAACCAACGGCAAAGGAAGACCTTTCTCTCTGTCTCTCACTGTCCACTCTGCCTGTCAAAAATTAAAAAAAAAAAAAAAAAAAAAAAAAGGAAATAATGAGACTAATCAAACAAGAAATGCTAGCATAGATAACCTACAGGTGAGAATTGTGCTGTATAAGGACAAGAAATCAAACTTGAACCAAAGCAAAAGAGAGCGTTTAATTACCCACCACACATCCATAAAGCCAAGGGTCTCATAGGAGGCACAATTAGGGAGAAAATGGGCTATAAAAAAATATCTACCTACCAATAGCTAAGCAGGAAAAACGGCTCCCACCCCAAGATAATCTGCATTTGGAACATAATCCTAACCATTTAGTCTAAGAAACCCATGACAATTTAACAAAAAATGAGTGAGCTGAGAGCCAGCATTCAGCCTAAAGGTCAAGATGCTCCTCTCCTATATTGGAACACCTAGGTTTGCTTCTCAGCTCAGGATCCTGACTCCAGTTTCCTGCTAAAGCAGATCCTGGGAGGCAATGACAATGGATTTGTTACCCTTACAGAAAACCTGGATTGAGTTCCCAGCTCCTGGGTTGGGCCTCAGCTCAGCCTCTGGCTACTGGGGGCATTTGAGAATAGACCAGTAGATGGGAGCAAACCTAAAGACATGTCTGAGCTCTCTCTCTCCTTGTCTCTCAAATGAATAAAATAAAAAACTGTTCCTAGATTTGGCAGGTCCTCTGAAGTACCCTGAATATCTAACTGGTCCAGCATTGTGGCATAGTAGATAAGGCTGTTGCCTGCAATGCCAACATCCTATATGGGCTCAGGTTTGTGTTGTGGCTGCTCCACTTCCGATCTGCTCCCTGCTAACGGTCTTAAAGAGCAGAAGATGGCCCAAACACCTGGGCCCCTGCACCCATGTGGGAGATGGGATTGAATTTCAGGGTCCTGGCTTTTGCCTGGCCCAGCTCCAGAGATCTGAAAAAAAAAAAAAAAAAAAAAAAAAAAAAAAAAAAAAACGAAGATCACAGAAGACCTGAACTGAATTCCCAGTTCTGAGTTTCAGCAGATGGGAGTCACATGTGTCTGTTTCTGTCTCTCAAATTTTTTAAAAAATATATTTTTTTAAACAGCAAAAAAGCCTCAGCTAAAATTCTGTTGAGGTTCCCTTTTTTAAAATTTATACACTAGTCATAGCAAAGGAAAATAGCAATAGGCTGGCACACAGAAACTGAAAATGCCCCAGTACTATTATAAATTGATGTACTTACAGGAAGTTTGGTGAAGGCCGGGTTGGTGACATGCTTCCCAAAGGCATCTTCCTGGAACTGGAGAAGCTGTACCACCAGCCCAGCCAGTGTTTTATTGGTAGGAGCATCCGCATGAACATACTGCAAAATAAAGAGACAGACTTAAAAAGTGGTACAACTGTTGCAGGAGAGACTGCTGGCTTACTTCCTAGTATCTACTAAGCACTGCCATTCTAGTAGAATGGCATCTAGTACCTCTGCCTTTCAGATAAATAAATTTTTATTTAAAAAAATACCACACAGGCTCGCTCGGTTAATCCTCCGCCTGTGGCACCAGCATCCCATAAAGGCACCGGGTTCTAGTGCCGGCTGATACTCTTCTAGTCCAGCTCTCTGCTGTGGCCCGGGAGGGCAGTGCAGGATGGCCCAAGTGCTTGGGCCCCTGCCCCTCATGGGAGACCAAGAAGAAGCACCTGGCTCCTGGCTTCGGATCAGTGTAGCTCCGGCTGTAGCGCCCATTTGGGGGTTGAACCAACAGAAGGAAGACCTTTCTCTCTGCCTCTCTCTCTCTCTCACTGTCTATAACTCTACCTGTCAAATAAAAAAAATAAAAAAACACCCACACACCCACACATGTGACACATAGCAGTATATGCCAGACATGAATCAAACACTGAAGACAAATTTTATACAACAGAGCATATAAGATGTCAACTGTCAGTCTAAAGCCATTGTTCTCAAATTTTAGTAGACAGAGAAGGGCACTGTGCCTTGGGATACCCACATCTGACATCAGAGTGCCTGGAGTCAAGTCTCAACTGGGCCTCTGATCCGGCTTCCTGCTAACGCACATCTTAGGGGGCAGAAGATGATAGCTCAAGTACTTGGGTACCTGCTACCCATGTGGCTTACTTGAAATCAATTCCTGGCTTGTCAGCATTTAGGGAGTGAACAAGCAAATGGGAGAGCTCTCTCTGCCTTTCAAATAAAAAATGAAAATAAAAATTTGAAATAACATGTATCTTTGTGTATATTCTAAGGTCCTTTATAACATACATGTTTCATTCCCAATATTGTCATTCAGAATGAAAAAAAGCTATACTTAAGTGCATCTCATGGTATATATACTATATTTCAATAAAACATTAAAAAAAAAAAAAAACGGGAAAAAAATGTTCATGTGGGGGCCAGTATGGTGGCTTAGCAGGTTAGGCCCCGGAATCCCAAATGGGCGTTGAGTCCCAGCTGCTGCTCCACTTCCTATCCAGCTCCCCACTAATGCGGCTGGGAACACGGCAGAAGATGGCCCAAGAGCTTGGGACCCTGCGCCCATGTGGGAAAACCGGATGAAACTCCAGCTCCACCCAATGGGGCCATTTGGTGAGTGAACTAGCAGATGGAAGACCTCTCTTTCTATAACTGTCTTTCAAATAAATAACGATCTAAAAAAAAGGGGGGGGGGCAAAGAAAAATAAAGACATAGTGACAGAAAGAAAGATAGGGAGAGATCTCCCACCTGCTGGCTCACTCCTCAAAAGCCTGCAATAGCCTGGACTGGGCTGACGCTGGGAGCCAAGAACTAATCTAGGTATCCTATGCAGGTGGTAGGGACCTAGGTACTTGAGCCATAAACTATGGCCTCCCAGGTGCATTAACAGGATGCTAAAATGGAAGCAAAGGCAAGACTGGATCCCAGGCATGAATATATGAATGGGACACTGGCATCCCAAGCCACAGCTTAACTCGCTGCACCACAATGCACATTCTACCACAAGGCTCAAGTGTTTGAGTCTGTTACCCATAAGGGAGACTCAAAATTGAGTTCCCAGCTCTTGGCTTCCATCAGCCTTGGTCCAGTCCCAAATGTTGCAGTCATCTGGGGAGTAAACCAGCAGATGGACAACCTGTGTCTGTCTGTCTCTTCCTGTCTCCCTGCTGTACAAAATAATAAAATTAAGAAAAAAAAAGATTGTAGGAAATGGAAAGAAAAGATATGATTTATGAAAATAACTAGGATTGGTGTTGTGGCTCAGCAGGTCAAGCCGCTACCTACAATTCTGACACCCTATAAGAGAGCAAAGGATTTCATTCCATCTGCCCCACTTCCGATCCAGCTCCCTGCCAGTGTGCCTGGGAAAGCAGTAAAAGATGGCCCCGGTAATTGGAAGATTCAGATGGAGCTCCAGGCTCCAGGCTTCGGCTTGGCCCAATCTGGCTGTTGCAGCCATATGAGGAGCTAACTAGTGGATGCAAGACATCTATCACTCCCTGTCACTCTGCCTTTCAAATAAATAAATCTTGGCCGGCGCCGCGGCTCACTAGGCTAATCCTCTGCCTTGCGGCGCCGGCACACCGGGTTCTAGTCCCGGTCTGGGAGCCGGATTCTGTCCCGGTTGCCCCTCTTCCAGGCCAGCTCTCTGCTGTGGCCAGGGAGTGCAGTGGAGGATGGCCCAGGTGCTTGGGCCCTGTACCCCATGGGAGACCAGGATAAGCACCTGGCTCCTGGCTTTGGATCAGCGCGGCCATTGGAAGGTGAACCAACGGCTAAAGGAAGACCTTTCTCTCTCTCTCTCTCACTGTTCACTCTGCCTGTCAAAAAAATAAAAATAAATAAATAAAAAATAAATCTTAAAAATATTTACAGAGTTGGTGCTATGCACAGAGGGTTAAGCCACCATCTGCGGCACCAGCATCCCATATGGATGCCAGTTCAAGTCCCAGCTGCTGCACTCTGATCCAGCTCATTGCTAATAGCCTAGGAAAATCAGCAGAGGACGGCCCAAGCCCTTGGGCCCCTGCCACCCACATCGGAGACCCAGATGAAGCTACTGGCTTGGGCCTGGCCATTTGGGGAGAGAACCAGTGGACAGATCTCCCACTGTCTCTCCCTCTCTCTGTAATTCTGACTTTCAAATAAATAAATAAATCTTTTTAAAAAAATAACCATTTAACTATCTTTAACTGTCAAATAATTTGTGTAAAAGGTATTAAAACATCTTCCTTAGGTGACCTAACTTTAGTGATCATCCTGAAACCTCAAATCTTATTTCAACAATAAGTCAAACTTTGGGAAGAAACTTATCTGGGAGCTTAGATATCCTTCAGGCGGTGAACAAATCAGTCTGAAGTCAGTACTGTTAGGGTTTTATCAACTGAAAACTATTCAGGAGCTATGCGCAGAGGTAAGGCGCTCATCTTTATCAAACATGAGGTGAATGAAGTGTACTCAGTAATACAAAGGCAGCAGCTTAGGTGGAAAATGAACCCGGATTTTGTAATGCTGAAAGACCCAAATGTAATGTCAGCAAACAGTCTCCCATGCTTCAGTTTTCTCACCTAAGTGGTCACCTACTTTGGGACTCTGTTTGTCCAAAGATCATCCCAGTCAAAAAGTCAAAAACCCTACTCCGTGTTGCTAAGCCAAACTTGCCAACAAAGCCTAAAGTAGTGGGAAATCTTTTTCTTCCAAGGGCCATCTGGCTATTTATAACATCATTTGCAGACCATACAAAATCATCGGCTTAAAAATTAGCCCGGGGGGGCGGGGCCAGCACTGAGTCTTTGCCTGTGGCGCAGGCTTCCCATATAGGCACCAGTTTGTGTCCCAGCTGCTCTTCTCCTGATCCAGCTCTCTGCTTGTGGCCTGTGAAAGCAGAAGATAACTCAAGTGTTTGGGCCCCCTGTGCCCACGTCAGGGACCCAGAGGAAGCTCCTGGCCCCTGGATCGGCTCAGCTCCAACTGTTGCAGCCATTTGGGGAGCAAAACAGCAGATGGAAAGCCTTTCTGTCTCTCCCTCTTTCAGTCTGTAACTCTACCTCTAAATAAATAAATAAAATCTTAAAAAAAAAAAAAAAAAAAAAAAAACACACCACAAACCTTAGCCTTGGAGCAGTGCTGTGGCAAAGCAGGCAAAGCCGCCACCTGAAGTGCTCGCAGCCCTTATGTGATGCTCCTGGCTTCAGCTCAGCCCAGCTCCAGCCATTTCGGCCATTTGGGTAGTGAATCAACAGATGAAGACCTCTCTCTCTACCTCCCTCTTTAACGCTTTCAAATAAGTACTAAAAAAAAAATTTTTTTTAACTGCTCTGAAAATGCATTACTAAATGCAAAACAAATGTTTAGTTCAAACCCACCAAAACACAAACCAAGCAGAAATACAGTATGCAAAAAAGAATCAAAGAGCCTTCTGACTAGGATTTTTACCACTTCAACATGACTCCCGGAAGCTGAAAGAATTCTGGCTGTCAGGCATAAGAGATATATACAATTCTGAACCTGGATAGGCCCAAGAAATACATTCTGATTCTACAAAGCCCTGAGACATCAAACTTAACTTTGACTTTGTCTTTAAAGCCTCAGGAACAGTGTGTCAACACTGGCCTAGTGGCCTCAACGCTGTGGGTCAAATCCTTCAGTCTGCCTCTTAGCTACTTTCCCAGTCACTCAAACTTCTGAGGTATTACCCAGGCATAAAGCAGCCCTCTTTAAAATGGACCAAAATTAATACACTGATTATTTGGAGAAGTCAAAATAACTATCATTGACTTTTTTTCCACTCTTTTCCTTGATTTTCAAAGGAATATGACTCCTGATAATCTTTTCTTGTTAAATCTTCTTTGACCTTAAGACCCAAAGCACTGGATGAGAAAATTACCAACTTTAAAAAAAATTTAACATTTTTGGAACATATTCAACTCCGTGAGCCACTTCCAGAAGCTATATTCCATATACAAAGTGACCAATTTGTCACTACAACAGAAAGCAATACTGTAGAGAAAAATCTACAGTCCCATATGTAACTTCAAAGGGGGTAAAAAATCAATGCATCCAAAAATGTGACTACTGTCTCTCACTTCCTCAAACTTCAGAGCAGGAACGGTGGTTTCTGAAGAAAGCATCAGTGTGAGCGACCTCAAAGGAACCCAAGATCCCTGCCCTCACCTAACGACTGCTGAAACAGACAGACTCACTGAGCTGCAGACCCCTAACAGATTCCTAGACACCTCGATCTTTTCATTCGTTCAGCAAGTATTTACTGAGTAACTGCTCAGGGGAGGCACCGAGCACCGACCGTGTTCCAGAGCAGGTACAGGCCTGACAGTGCCCTTGCTCCCTGGGGGAGAGCACAAGTCAAAGAGGGTGCTTGGGAAGTTCGAGGCAGAGAGTGGCTGTCTGCTTCATCCACCTTACAAGGCAATCATTCTGGGAATATTTACATGAAGCATAAACTTAAAGGGTTTTCAAAATTCTGAACAAAGGGTTAAGTCACAACTTTGAAAACCTATGATTCAGCAGAATTTAATCCCAAAGGTAGGAGAAACAAGCAAGCACAAATTTCAGGCAGCGGCCAGCACTAGGAATTAAATAAAGGTGACACGAAGTAGGGTGCGCTTGTACATTGCGGGTCCTCAGGGAAGGCCTGGCTGAAGGGCACAGGTGAACACAGCCTCGAACTCGCAGCATGCAGACGGGCACAACCAAAACCCGTCGTTTCTTCACCGGACACGAGTTCTCCTCGGTGCCACTGGTCGTGACGTGAAGCCCGGGACAAGCGTCCACAGGCCTGCGGCAAACCAGCCGCGGGCAGCGAAACCCGGGTCCTCCTCCACTCGGAGGCCACTCTCGGGACGAACCCCGAGGCTGCGCGCCCACGCCGGCTGGGTACTGGGGGGGGGGGGTCATTGTTCCCACACCTGAGGCGGCCAACAAAAGACACACGCGCCGCCCGGCTGTCGCGCACCGAGGCCCGCAGGAGCTTCCGCCCCGAGCGCTCGGGCTCCCAGGGCCGAGGCCCGGGACCCCCGGCAGCCAAGCGGGAGCCGGAGGGGCGCCCAGGGCGGCCGGCGGGGGCGTGGCAGCCCCGGCGCCGGCCTTTGTTGTCCCTCGTGGCGCGCGGGGGGAGGGGCGGCCCCGGGGCCCGCCAAGCCCGGGACCGCCGCCGGCCCCCGCCGCGCGACCTCCCGGTCCCCAAGGGCGCGCGGACCCACCTTCTTGTAGTGCTTGCCCAGCCAGACGCGCACCGAATCCAGCTGGGACACTGTCTCCGGGCTCTCCCAAAACTTGCTGGCCGGACCGCCGTCCTTCCGTCGATAAACCGCCAGACCCGCGGCCGCCGCCGCACCCCCCGCGCCCGCGGCGCCTGCCGCTGCCCCAGGCCCGCCGCCGCCGCCGCCTGCTGCCGCGGCCATCGTCGCCGTCAGTCGTCCCCACCGCCCGGCACGGCCCGGCCCTCGCAGCGTTCCCCGTTCGCACCCGCGCGCGCGCGCAGCCGCTGCTGCTGCCGCCGCCGCCACCACCACCACCGCCGTCCCTCAGCCCCGCCCAGCCAACCCCTTTCCGGCGCGGAAGCCCGACCCCGCCCCGAGTTGGCCCCGGCGCCGTAACCGTCGCGAGCACGCGCGCGCGCCTGCGCAGTGCCCTGCCGGCGGGCCAGCGCCTCCGCCCGCCTCTTCCGCCGCGCCACGGGGGCTGCCTCTCTACTTCCTGTGGTTCTTGTGTGCGCGCCTCACGCGGTGGACAGCCGCCAGGAGGGTCTGTGCTGGCCGACGGAAGGCGTGGGCTGATAAGTGCCCGGGAGAAGCCCTTGCGGATTGCGGGCCTTGGCGCTTGGGCGCGGTGCGGCTGCGCGCCCGCCCTGCTCGCCCGGACCCCGTACGGCGCGGGGCGGCCTCCGCGCCCCTCGTGGCCCCGGCCACGCGCGCCCCTTCCTGCCTATGGCCTTTGCGCGCTGGGTTGTTCGGCGACCTCCTGGGTCTTGCTTTGTGGTTTCACCCATGAGCCTCGGCCGCTTTCACAGCCTGGAAGTACTTCCGAAGGCCGGCCCCTGAGCCGTGGCTCACACGTTCTGCGAAGCCCTGAACGTGACCCGATGTTTTTATTATTTGTGTGTGTGCGCAGATAGACTGCATGAGAACCTAATCTTGTTCACAGGTGTACCCTTCGCGCTGCGGAAACAGCCTGTTCTTGTTTTGTTTTTAAAATATTTGTAAGGCGGAGTTGAGAGACATTTTCCATCCCCAAATGGCTGCACCGGCCAGGGCTGGGCCAGGAGCCTGAAATTGCATCCGGGTCACTCATCGCTTTCCTAGGCGCATCAGCAGGGCACTGGATGGGAAGTGGGACAGTTGGGGCTAGAACAGGTTGCTTGTATGGGATACTGGCGGCTCAACCCACTGAGCCACAACGCCAGCCACTCTGCCTGTTAGCTAACAAATATTTGGGGAATGTATGGCCCGCAGGAATGGAGGTTTTGAGTTTAAGATTGGTTTATGTATTTGAAAGGCAGAGTGACAGGGAAAGACAGAAAAAACTATCTTCCATCTGCTGGTTGTTTATCAAAGTGGCTATAACAAAGTCAGGAGCCTGGAATTCTGTCTTTGTCTCCCACACTGAGGGCAGGGGTCCAACTACTCAGGGCCATCTTCCATTGCCTGGATCACAAGCAGAGCAGTCAGGACGCCAACTGGCCCTCTGATAGGGGATACTGGTGAGGTAGGCCACGGCTTAACCCACTGTGCACAATTCTGGCCCCATATTGAGTTTTTATCCAAGTATGGTTATCCCTAACAGAGCTATGGACATAATGCTATGATCCCAGAGCAGAAAGTGACCAAGTGCTTGTGAGAAAATCCGGTGAGCTTTTGAGATCTTTCAGAAATGAATAGGATGAATAATAGAATGTGATGAGGAGGAAAGGACATTCCGGACATAGAGGGGGAAAACAAAGGCACTGAACCGTGAAGTATGCTTGGTGAAACTTTTAAGCCCCTGGGGTAGAAGCATGGATGTAATTTTTTTTTTCTTGAGAGGCAAAGGGACAGAGCCAAACAGAGCTCTCATTCACTGGTTCACTCTCAAAACATCCACAGAAACTTGGAGATGGGAACTCAATCCAAGGTCCCATGTGGGTGGCAGGAACCTGATTATTCAAGCCATCACCACTGCCTCCCAGGGTACACATTAGCAGGAAGCTGGAGTCAGGAGCCAGAGCTGGGAAGTATGTCCTGGCACTCTTTTATCTAAGAGGCAGAGTTACAACAGGGAAAGACAGAGAGGGCTTCCATCTGCTGGTTCACTCCCATATTGTCCACAACAGCCAGAGCTGGGCCAATCCAAAGCCAGGAGCTTCTTCCAGATCTCCCACATACGTACAGGGGCCCAAACACTTGGGCCATCTTCTACTGCTTTCCCGGGCCAGAAGGAGAAAGCTGGATCCGAAGAGGAGTAGGGGCCACCACCTGCAGTGCCAGCATCCCATATGGGTGCTGGTTTGAGTCCCAGCTGCTCCACTTCTGATGCAGCTCCCTGCTACGGCCTGGGGAAGCAGTAGAAAACAACCAAGTCCTTGGGCCCCTGCACCTCTATGGGAAACCCAGAAGAAGCTCCTGGCTCCTGACTTTGGATTAGTGCAGCTCTGGCCATTGCGGCCAAATGCAGAGTGAACTAGCAGGTGGAATACCTCTTTCTCTCTGCCTCTCCTTCTCTCTAACTCTGCCTTTCAAATAAGTAAGTAAATCTTAAAAAAAAAAAAAAAAAAAAAAAAGCCAGCGCCACAGCTCACTTGGCTAATCCTCCGCCTGCAGCACCAGCACACCGCATTCTAGTCCCGGTTGGGGCACTGGATTCTGTCTCGGTTGCTCCTCTTCCAGTCCAGCTGTCTGCTGTGGCCAGGGAGTACAGTGGAGGATGGCCCAGGTCCTTGGGCCCTGCACCCGCATGGGAGACCAGGAGAAAGCACCTGGCTCCTGGCTCCTGGCTCCTGGCTTCGGATCAGCGCTGCGCTCCGGCAGCAACGCATCAGACGTAGTGGCCACTTGGGGGGTGAACCTACGGAAAAAAGAAAGACCTTTCTCTCTGTCTCTCTCTCACTAACTTTGCCTGTCAAAATAAATAAATTAATTAATTAGAAAAAAAAAAAAGAGGAGTAGCCAGGACACAAACAAGTGTCCATTACTGGGTGCCAGCACCACAGGCAGAGGCTTAACCTATTACACCACAGCTCTGGGGACTTTACTGGGGTTTTAACCCCAAGACCAAACACCCCATGTGGCAGTGACTTTTTACTTTAAGCACTGTAAACCATAACAGAGGGAATGACATGATCGGGTTTATACGTTAGGGTGTTAACTGCAGCAGTGTGAACAGGAGGTTAGAGTAAGGGGCCGTGCGGTGGCATAGCAGGTGAAGCTGTTGCCTGCAAAGCTGGCATCCCCGCTTTGGGGTCTCTAAACTGTCATCTCGAGGAAGACACCTCCAGCCACCAGCAGTTAAGCAGACCTGGCTCACAGAATGGGCCGTAGGCAGAGGGCCCTTCTGCTGCCTGGGTGTGTGACAGCATTTCAGGCTCTGTGTCCTAAGGTTTTTGTAGAATCTAGAAAAACAGTTGTCTTAGGAATGGCTCACATGGCCTCCCTTGGCTCCTCACTGTTGGAATCAAGTGGAGAAGCAGCCCCGTCACAGACAGCTCTGGCATGCTATCCGGGGCCGTGTGGGCAGGACAGGGCCAGTTGTACTGGAGGATGTGCTACTGTTGATCCTGTAGCTTCCAGCAGCTCCCCCTTGGCCTCTACCCTCAGATTTTCCTCTCTTGTCTGTTTTCTTCCCTTCTTTACCCCTGTGTCTTCATTCTGTCCCTTCTCCAAGGGCTGCCTGTGTCCCCCATTGTGTCCCCTGTCTGCTCGCCTTCCTCTTCTGCAAGTGTCTGATCGCTGTACCTGTGTGGTGAGTCATCTTTGTCCTGTCCCCTCCTCACCTCATTGCCAAGCCATCCCTGGATGGACCTGGGTCAGCGGGAGCCATGAGCATTCACCTCTGCCTGTACCCATTCGAACACAGCCAGACCCACTCAGGCCTAATGTAGTACACATGTGTAAAACAGTTTTCTCATTTTGAAACTCAACAGTCCTGGATGCCATTAGAAGACATGTCCTTCAGGTGACCCAGCCATCAGAATGACAGCACTTTTTGTTGGAGAAAAAATAAAAACAAAAAGGTCACCTGTTCTCCAGCCCTTTTCTCTACCCTGTGTTCTCCTTCCTCCCTGAACACCCCAAGTAAAAACAAAACACCAGGAAAAAAAACAACTGGCATCTCATATGGGTGCCAGTTCAAGTCCTGGCTGCTTCATTTCCAATCCAACTCCCCGCTAATGTGCCAGGGAAAGCAGAAGATGGCCAAAAGCTTGGGACCCCGTACTCATGTAGGAGGCCCAAATGAATTGAAGCTCCTGGCTCCTAGCTTTGGCCTGGCCCAGCACCAACTGTGCAACCATTTGGGGAATGAATAAATGGATAGAAAATCTCTGTTTCTCCCTCTGTCTGTCACTGCCTTTCAGATAAATAAAATCTTGGGGAGGGGGGTTAATGTAGAAGACTAGAGACACATAACCTAATAAACTGTGTAGGGTAGAGGTTTATGAGAATAAAATACAAATAACATCTGAGAGATTATTCTAGAAATAATAAAAGCTGGTGCTTATGAGGCAATTTTTTTAAAGATTTTTTTAAAAGATTTATTTATTTATTTGAAAGAGTTACTCAGAGAGGAGAGGCAGAGAGAGAGAGAGAGGTCTCCTATCCACTGGTTTACTCCCCAATTGGCCGCAATGGCCAGAGCTGCACCGATATGAAGCCAGAAGCCAGGAGCCAGGAACCAGGAGCCAGGAGCTTCTTCCAGGTCTCCCATGTGGATGCAGAGTCCCAAGGACTTGGGCCATTTTCTACTGCTTTCCCAGGCCACAGCAGAGCTGGATCAGAAGTGGAGCAGCTGGGACTTGAAGCAGCACCCATATGGGATGCTGGTACTGCATGCAGCAGCTTTACCCGCTACCCATAGCGCCAGCCCCCTTACGAGGCACTTTTGATCTGTGTCATGCTCTGTGTCAAATACACCTACATTATTGCTGATAAGGAAAAAGGCACAGAGAAGTTGTTATTTGCTAGTAGGTTTTAGAGTCAGGGTTTCATTTTTGTTTTATTTTTTAAAGAATTCTTTTTTTGTTGGAGCATCACTATGGTACAGCAGATTAAGCTGCCACATGTGACACTGGCATCCCATATCAGATCGCCAGCCCAAGTTTTGATGCAGCCCCAGGAAATGAGAGATTTCTCTGTGTCTACCTGTCTCTCTCTCAGCCTCTCAAGTAAATACAATATAAATAAATCTAAAATTTTTATTTAAAAGATTGCAATTTTTTGGATCTAAAACAATTTATCCATTGTCATAAATTACAAACACAACATAATACATAAATATGCTACTTCTTTATTTTTTATTTTTTTATTTTTTTGACAGGCAGAGTGGACAGT